TGCAGTGTGTTAATTATTGAAACTGTCCTACCGATTTGATTTGCAAAAAAAAAAAAGATTTCTTGAAAGCAAGCATTAATATTCAATTATTTTACCAATCTCTATAACTATGCCTGTTAATCTAAGCAACAGATTTGATGTTGAAAATAGATAACAATCATTGCCTATTAGCTATTGCTATTTTGAAAATCTATTTTTTCCATAATTTTATTGATAAACAAATAGTAATGAGACAGTTTCAAATCAAATTGGTAGGACAGTTTCAATAATTAACACATTCCATACATTCCTCCCAGTGGTTTATTGCTGTATAAGATGTGGACATCACATCCCATCTACAAACACAATTAGAACAAATCACTCTATTTATTAAGAGAATGTAACTATATATCTATCCTAACCACTTTAAATACACTATAACATATGTATAATTGCATCCTACCTTGTTTATGCCATTGTTTTTGCTTCTATTTTTACTTTTCAAAATAAAATAAAATAGTTTTTTAAAAAGAAAATATATTGTAAAGAATGACAAGAATTATTTATAATTGGTAGCATTGTATCTAAGTGGTGTCTTAGATGATAAAAATATTTTACTTTTAATAGTTTAAAGGCTCCTGTAGAAACGTTGTTTACATTACATTTAAAAAAATATTTTTAGGGAAGGGTCTACAGTGTATTCAAGGTCTCACTGCTAGATTGGAGTTGTAGTGATCTGCCTGTTCACCGCCTCCCAAGAGCTGGGATTACAGGTCCACACCACGACGTCCGGTCTCACCTGTAACAGCAAGCTCCAGGGGCAGGGCTGGCATGGCAATCCTAGGAATGGAATCCTTGGCCCCTGTGCCTACTTGCAGGCACGTTAATCCACTGAGCTATTTGGCCGGGCCTGTTTACATTACTTGCTCAACAAATTATTTTTACATCAAAAAAATAAACTTCAAAATATTATACAGGTTGAGAGTAGATTGAATATCTTGTTTTTATGTTTGAAAACCACTGAATGTTATTCTGAATAATGAGTTTCTCTAGTTTTTATGGCTATCCAGTGTTTTGGGGGAGAAGTCAAAATATGAGCCTCCCTCCTGCTCCACCCACCATGATGGCCTTTGCCACCGCAGTGAGCTCTTGAGACTGGGAAGTACACCGAGGGGCCCCAGGGAAGGGACGGTCACTGCCGCCATCAATTCCAGGAAATCACAGCATGAGCACCCAAGGAGTACTTTCACAGCCTAGGATGTTTGCTTAAAATGCACAAGGAAAGGATTTCACTAGATACGTTATATTGTTTTCACTAATTGACCTATACTCTCCTTGCTGTAAAAATGATTTAAAGATTTCAGTATGCCTCAGGTTCCTTCAGGGCTGGAGTCTAGGATTCTATAACTACATTTGGAGACCGAGGAATTGCAGCTGAGGAGGTATGAGTATCATTAGCAATCTGGCTGACACAAGAGAAATAAGAGGCCACCTCCTCTCGCCCTCCCCTGGCTCCTCAGCTTTAGACCATGTGTCGGTGGACAACTGCCCATCCGCTTCAGCCACAGCGCCAGGAGACGCACGCCTGCACAATGAGTACTGTATGTGCTGTTACGGGAAACAGTTATTCAGTTTGTGGACAGAGGGAAACCAAGTAAGGGCAGGTGGTAAGGCCAAAGAACACAGGAGCCTCCTGGCCTGCACATAGCCTGCAGGTGCCACAATGCTGCACTTGAAGTGTGCGGGACCACCAAGAGGACTCTCCCTAAAAGAAGATCAGTGAGCTCCATTTTGGCTACGCTTGGCCCTGTTTCCATGCATTGATATATACAGAGCTAACTAGGAATGTTACTTATCCCTTCAATTGGTTTTGAGCAAAGCAAATCAGTCCCACCAAGCTGCTCATAAACAGCCTTGGAAGCAAAGAAGACAGGGCAGAGTCTCCCCACCCCTGTAGGTCCCCAGTAAACCATGTGTGAACCTGGGTGGGATGGAGAGCCAGACTACGTGCTGTCAGCTGGGATTGAGCCTAGAAATAAGAGGCTATGACCTCCCAGGGCACAAAAGAATAGCACCTCAGAGCTTAGGCACAGAGACCCCAAAACACTAGACACTACCTCAGAGGCATTGTGCAGATTACTTCTGCATAGCCTTCTCTGCGTACTGCAGAGGTGATTTGGGGCCTCCCACCTAGTCCAGCCCTCAGCACTCAAGTATGTCTGTCATTCTCACAGTCACTCATCCTCAAGCCTCTCCCTTCTTCATTAGTTAGCAAAACCTGGGTTTGTCCCTGAGTGAAGGACTTTGTTCCTGTTAACCACTATCCTAGCTGAGCTTAGGATCGCTTGGCTTCCCACAATTACACATATGCTCCGTTGTCTGTATTCTCGCCATGGATTGTTCTGGGAGTGGTAGATTGGAATAGCTACAATTCCAGTAACTTTTCCATGAATTACAAAAAGAAACCTTTCAGACCAGCATGAGGCCTGGGGAAGGCTCAGGAGCTGCACATGTGGCTAGTTACCTTTTTGGCAAAAGGGTCCTTCATACGGAGAGTGCGTGCAGTCGCACGCGTAGCCGCTGCGCTTCTCCACGCACTTGCCCCCGTTGTGGCAGTTGCTGCCGTAGCTGCTGCAGTGTCCCGGGCACCCTGGCCTGACTCCAGATGTGACTTTGGCTCGCTCCTCCAGGTCCAGCTTTTGTCCATTCATGAACAGGGAGCGGATGCATCCGAGGAAGCCTTTCTGTCGTGATGAAGTTCCTCCTACGAGTGAAAATAAAAGGAAAAACTGTTAGGTAATGTGAGCCTCCACGAATTTAGGTTTAATGTCTTTATGGTAACCGGTAACTATTCATTTGCAATAGTGCTGTGTTAAAGTTTTCTTTAAAGTTTCCAGGGAGAGAGCGGGAAGATGGCTCAGTGGAATAAGTGCTTCCCCGGCACACCAGTTCTGCCAAAAAATAAAATAAAATAAAAAATAAAGTTTCCAGAGAGAATTAAGAATTTATTATCTATCTATCTATCTATCTATCTATCTATCTATCTATCTATCTATCTATCTATCTATATCTATATCTATATCTATATC